TCACTATCCATCCCCATCTCCTTCTCTAGGTTATGAATGGACAAATCAGGCTATACAACACCACCAACTCAAGAAGCCTAAGTTACAAAAAGACTCTTGCCAAATACAGACACGCTTCAATCTTGGAGTTACTGAAGAGAAAGTCTTGCTTAAACAATGTCCCTCTACTACAATACAACCCTAGTCTGTCCAGTGCTGTACCACAGTTCAGTGGCATAGATAAAATAATATTGAGACCCATCACCACTAATCAGAACCATATTAAAAGCATCATATGGAACATCAGTGCTCTGAGTGCCAGCCAATACATTTGGAGCTGTAGTATAAATTAACCCCTAGTTTTAGCCTACACTTGCAGTGAAGCCATGCTTGAGAACCATGTCCACACACAATACAGACACTGTTCTTCCTAGAAAAGGATTAGACATTGTAGGAGTGAGCTAAAACTATCTACTTGGTCTTTCAAGTCTCAAAAATGCTACTAGTTTACAGCCTGGCACACTATTCCTGCATACGTAGCCCTTCTCATGTGAAGAGCTACAAATATGCCCTGAAATAGCATGCCATACTGGATGAGTGGCATTTCTGGGACACAGATGACCAGTTCTGATCACCAAGGCTCCTATGAAAGAACAGAATGCTACCTCAGGAGTCTGGATCTGAAGCTGATGAATGATAATGACTAATACAAACCATGCTGACCCTGCAAATAAGGCTTAGTGAACAACTGATTTTATATTCCATAGCCACATTAAATTGTTCAGATTGAATGAAAATACTTCTCTCATTGAAAGGAGCCTTGCCCCCCAAACATTTCATTCATATTAAATGTAATATTTAATTTGATCTGAAAAGTTTTGTTTCTTTGGTATTTGAAAAAAAAAAAGCCAGAATCACAAAACTGCTAGTGGTGGTGATGCCTATTGATGCCATAGCCCAGTGATTCAGGTAGACATGGCACACCTGCCAGAAAGTATCCAAATCCCAGCCTCTTGAGCCAGCTGGGAGATCCAGATCAAGTCCTCCAGGGGAAATCAACTAGACTACCTCCCAGGAAATTGCCCTAATCATCAAGTTAGAGCAAGACTCCAGACTTCTGGGAGGAGGCAGGGAAGGCTGTTCTCAGTCTCTCCTGTTGATACTGTTTCATTCTGCATAAATAATCAAATGGTTCATGGGAGCAGGGACAGGAGCCCAGGTGCCCCTTCGTTCAGTGTTTCAACAGCTACACTACAGAGGCATCCAAGTGTCTGATTCAATAACTTACATAAATATTTTATACCAAGTGGCACTGGAGAGATTGAAAAAGACTCACTTGAATACCTCATATCCTGCAGTTAGGATGGCGACGTGGCAAGCAGGACACCTTCAGTTCTTATCTTTATTCCATTAAAATTTTATTCATGCACAGTAAAAAGAGAAATCACCAAGAGAGACTAAGCAGAGCACTCTACCCCAAAACAGACTTTTGCATAGTAGGTAGGACCCCATCCTGGAACATGGGAGATGTGGGTTTGTATCATGTCAGGTAGGGAAGGGAACTGTGCTGGGATTACTTGCATCCTATGCGAGTGCCCTAATTGGTAGGCTGCTGGTTAAGAGGGGACAGCCATGCTTCTAGTTCCACAAATTTTTTTCCAGCTGAAATTATTTGCCGCATCTGACAGCCAAAACAGACTGTACCCAGAAGAAGAAAAAAAAAATGTTTTTGACTGATGTCACGTCTTCCTACAGCAAAGGAGCATCATAACACATAGCAACTTCTGCAGCCACATCATTTAAAGGGATAATTGGCAACATTTTGATTTGGTTCTGTATGCTATATTTATAGAAGAGCAGTGTGTGTGTGTGTGTACGCGCGCATGCGTGTGTGTGTGTGTGTGTGTGTGTGTGTGTGTGTGTGTGTGTG